CCTTACTCCCTTCCCCCATCCCCTCCCCCTACCATACCTGTATTGTTCCTATTTTTTCCTTATGTATATAAACTCAATAAAATGTTGTTTAAAAAAAAAGAGATAAACAACATCCCACACACCCTGCCCTCTTTCGGGTTGGCAGGCATGGGGGGGACGACTTTGCTTTTGGCAGAAGCAGAGAAAAAGCAGGGGGGGGAGGATTTGCAACCCCCAAGATGCCTATGCAGCCCAGGTGGATGTCCTGGACTCCAAGGAGACTCAAAGCAAGCCACCCAGCCCAGGAAAGTCAGCTGTGCCCCTGCCGCCCCTTGTGCGGGAATGCCCCACCTCCCAGGGCCTGGAGTGTGTGCCCCCCAACTGGGGGGGGATGGTGTGCAGAGGTCAGTCAAGAGCCCCACCAGGGCAGAGTCAGCCAGGGAGAAGACCTGCCAGGCAGCTACAGGCTTCTCTTCAGCAAATCAGGATTTGTGCTGTATTATTGTGCTGTCCAACTGCAGCTGAATCACAGCTCAGAAGGACAGACAATGTCCAGCTCTGGGCCTCCCTGATTCCACACACACCCCACCCTCTCCTACTCCCTTATCCAAATGGGGGAGGGCAGGTGCCTCTCCCTTCCCTCAGCTAAGCAGACAGCCAAATGCTGAGCACCTCCCTCTGCTAGAGAAAGGCCTCTTCAGAGCAGCCAGCGACGGCTCTTCTGGCAGGCTTGGATGCCCTCTTAGAGGGAGGCGGAAAGCCTGGTGAGTGCCCTCCAATGCTGCCAGCTGCACCCAACGGGGCCAGACCCAGGGCCCTTCCCCTGCGGTCACAAGTGGCCAGAGGGCAGCAGCTCCTCAGCTGGATGTGCTGCAGCCTCTCTGGAGCTGCCCAAAAGCAGAGTGGCTGGACTCCAGCCAAGGCCAGGGCCCCTTTGCCCTGATAGTGGAAAGTCTGGGGTGGAAGGGAGATACGGCTCCATGGTAATTCAGGACCCAGCCCCTAGTAGGCAGCACAGAGCAGTGCCAGCGGGGGGGGGGGCTCCTTTCTAAAGGGGAGGACAGTCTCTTTTCCCTCCAACATCCCTGCAGGGCGGGCAGCTAGGGCGGGGGATGTTCACATCCTGCTGGATACAAAAGGGGATCCTACCAGCCCCCCCCCACACTCCAGGGAGAAGAATCCCATCCTCAGCCTGGAATCCCCACTGAGCCCAGGCCCCCCACTGGGGACTCCGAGGACAAAGCCACAAAGACCCCCGCCGAGTAAGCTCTCTTTATTGTGCCTCCCATGCGCAGCAGGAAGCAGGGCGGAGAAGGCCGCCTCAAGCCTTCTTGTCGTCTTTCTGCAGGAACCGCCGGGGTCCTGGGGGGGGAAGAGGCAGAGCCCTTGAGCCGGAGGAGGTGGGCAGGGCCTGACAGGCCTGGCCCTGCAGAGCCCTGGAGGCGGAAGGGTCCTCAGCGCGCCCCGTCAGCACGACCCCATGCAGCTCGGGCAGCTCCGTAAAGGGCAGGTAAGCTTCTCCTGGGGGGAGAGAGGCCACAGGTGGGGGACACGCCCACGGAGGGCCCTGATACAGTAGGACAGACAGGGCCCCCCCCAGGTAACAGCCTGCACGGGAACAAGACTGAGGGAGATGGGGCAGCCCCTGACCTGGCTCCCCCATTCCCCAACCCGCGGCCCTGGGGGTTTCTGGTTCGGCTCATAAGCAAGTCTTCCTCCGGCTGTGGCTGATTCAGCCCTCCTGACTTGGGGGGAGGCCGGTTTCCCCTCTGGGTCATCTCTGCCCTTGGCTGCAGCTGGACTGAGCATGGGTCTGGGGTCTGCCAAAAGGGCTTCGAACCCACCGGCCCCACAAAGCCAGGGCACGGCTGGCTTTGCATCTTCCCCTGGGCAGTTGGGGTCTCTCAACAAGGAGGACAAGCAGGGAGCAAACCCCTGGGCTAGACCCCACCCCCCACTAGGGGCTCTCCCTGGGACAGCCCTGGATGAGGGTCCCAAGCCTGAGCAGAGGCAGAGTCCTGCTGAAAGGGGGAGGAGGGAGGAGCTGGCTAGCAGAGTAGCAGAGGTTCTACGGGGGAGAGGAAGGAGCCGCCCTTGGCAGGAATGGCTGCTAAGATGTGGGCAGGTCCTTGCCAGGGCCAGAGGAACAGACACCCTTCCCCCCTCCCCAGCTGGGGGAAGCCCTGCAGTTGCCACTGCAAAGCAGAGAAAAGGGCAAAGGGCGGGAAGAAGGAAGGGAGGGGGCCAGGGAGGGGCCGCAACCCGCCTGCCACCCCCATACCGTAAGGCCGGCCACCTCTGCGCCGCGTCTCCTCTGACTCAAAGAAGGTTTCGTGCTCCTCCCAGCGTCGGTCGCAGGCTGCGCACAGGAAGCTGGAGGCGAAGGCCATGCAGGAGCAGCCTGGCGGGGCAGGAGGGGCACCAGGTTAGGGTCAGCATAGCCGGGCACGGGGAGGGGGGGCTGCAGAGCCTGGCACCTGAAGCAACTGCAGAGCCTTTTGGAGAGGCATGGGGTGGGTGGGGGGGGGGAAGGAGGGCTTCCCACCCTGCTGCTGCAGAGTTGTTGAGAGGGCCAGCTGAATTGTATGTGGGAATGGTCTTCAGAGATGGGTCAGGGTCAGGGTTACTTCGAGTCTTGCAAGCTTCTCTTAATGTAGCCTGACAATAAAGAATGCACTGGTCGTTCAGCTTCTCGTCTGAATGCATTTCTCCCCTCCTTTCCTTTTCCTCTCTGGGAAAACAGGCCCAGAGCCCCCCTGGCCAGAAGGCAAGAAGAGATGCCAAAGCCCCCCAGGAGGACACTGGACTGGCACCGATTGTCCCCTTCCCCCCCCCTCAGCCGGCTGCCACTTTGCCTGCAGGAGGGCTGTCCTCGCCTCTTGGTCCAGCTTTGCACAGAGGGATAACTTTCCACTCTCACCATCAGAAGTAAACCCCCCCCATCTCTCAGCCCGGGAAGAGGGGGTGGATGAAGGGAGAAAGGAGCCCCCCCCAGTGCTCTCAGACATGGGTTGCTGCTGCTGCTGCTGCTATTCAGGCGGTTCCAGGAGGCCTTTGCAGTAGCTGCCCCAATGCTCCTGGGGGACGGTGCCCAGATCAGAGCGGAGAGTCTCTGCCTAGGATGGTTGGGGGAGGGGGGCAGGAGGGGGCTCTTTAGCTGTGCAGCTCAGGGAGATGGGGCCACTTTGGAATTGACAGGCTGCCAGGGCCACAGGATACAGAGGTCATTTACGCCCGCCAATTGAGGAGGGGGCTCTGCAGGGCTGGTGACTGGAAGAGGCTCAGATTTGCCCCTGGACTTGCCGGAGATTACACGGCCTTGGTGAGAGATGGGGGTCAGGATGAGCAAACCCTGGAATAAGACAAGATGGGGCTGGAAGTAGAGGAGCAGCCGGCTGGGGTGTGTCGGATAGAGAGGGTGGTCTTAGCAGACGGAGGGAAGGGCGGTTACCAAAGCAATGAGCCCATAAAGGTGGCTTCAACCGAGTCCCAAAAGGCTGCAGCAACCGGGATTGCATTCCGGAGATGCTCAGCAGCCCCGGGGCACATCCTCTCTACTCCAGGTGCTCACTAAGAGGAGGAAGGGGCCCAAACTGGCCAGAGAGCCAGCAGCTTCAGGTGGCGGGCAATGGGGTGCTCACCTCGGACGTAGCATCTCCGTGCTCCGATGGGCGTGTGTTCTTCATGCGTGTGTGTGCACCGGCATTTGGCTCGCCAGGCTGCCACGTCAAAGCCGGTTCTTCTCCGAAGCCAGAACTCGCCCACCTCCTCGGGGCGGGAAGGAACGAAGAGGAATCCCTGGCATTGGCAGCCTGCCACAGTGCAGGGCACAGTGGCTCGTTTCTCTGAAACACAGAATAGGCCTTCTGGCGGGGGAAGAATCCAAAAGGAAGGACGGCAGGTCTCCGGGCAAAGCAAGCAGGGACCCTCTGGTCCCCAAAGCCTCCTCTGGGGGGGGGAGAGGACCCCCTGGGCAACTGGCTGAAGACCCTCCTCTAAGCGGGAAGGCAAAGGACCCCCCGAGTTCTCATATTTGGCTTTATTTTGGACAAGGTAGGGTATTTGATAGAGGAAGAGGCGGTGTGTAAAGTCCTCTTAAAAGCCCCACCCTGCATTCAAGATGGGGGGCAGGGTTCATTAAGGCCATTGTTGGGTGCCCCTAAGACTCCAGAAAACCAAGATCATGGCATCCGGCCCTCTCAATTCCTGGCAAAGAAATGGAGAAGAAATGGAGGTAGTGACAGATTTTATTTTTCTGGGCTCCAAGATCACCTCAGATGGGGACTGCAGCCAAGAAATTAAAAGACGCTTGCTCCTGGGGAGGAAAGCTATGGCAAATCTAGACAGCATACTAAAAAGCAGAGACATCACCCTGCCAACAAAAGTATGTATAGTCAAGGCCATGGTTTTCCCAGTTGCAATGTATGGTTGTGAAAGTTGGACCATAAGAAAGGCTGAGCGCCAAAGAATGGAGGCCTTTGAACTATGGTGCTGGAGAAGACTCCTGCGAGTCCCCTGGACTGCAAGGTGATCAAACCGGTCAGTCCTAGAGGAGATCAACCCTGACTGCTCTTTAGAAGGCCAGATCCTGAAGTTGAAACTCAAGTACTTTGGCCACCTAATGAGAAGGAAGGACTCACTGGAGAAGAGCCTAATGTTGGGAACGATGGAGGGCAAGAGAAGAAGGGGATGACAGAGAATGAGGTGGCTGGAGAGAGTCACTGAAGCAGTAGGCCTGAGTTTAAATGGACTCCAGAAGAGTAGAGGACAGGAAGACCTGGAGCAACATTGTCCATGGGGCCGCGATGGGTCGGACACGACTTGCAACTAACAACAACAAAGACTCCAGAATCTCTGGGCTGGGCAATAAAACGTGATGGGGATATATGAGTTAATTACACAGGGTGCCCCCCCAGAGCCCCACAAGAAGCCTGTCTCTCCTGCATGCGTCCTTAAGAGTGATTGTGGGGAGAGCGGAAAGCAGGTTGTGGCAGCCGGGTCCTGCCTGTGACCAGAGAAGCTCAGTTCTGAAGACCAGGAATGCACCCGACTCCCTGGAACAGAAAGAGCTATGATGGCCTCCAGATGGAGGCAAACAGCCCTGCTCGGCTGCTTGGAAGGCAGCTCTGCCTTCTTCTGCCTGTTTGGGAAAGAGCTGCCAGGTCTGCTGCCTCAGGCTTTAAGCCTTGCGGCACAGGCTGCCATCGCTTCCCACTTTCCCTTGGAAGAAACAATGATCAGGATCCCTTCCAATGGATAACAGGCCTGGATCTAAGGTGGAAATTTAGGTACAGGAAGTCCTTGACTTATGACCACAATGGAGCCTGCCCATCACCGTCATGTCATGATCATTATAATTGACACCAATCATCATGTGACCAATTTTACGAGCATTTTCTGCAGTGGCCATTAAGCAAATCACCATGGTCATTAAGTGAATCCAGTTAATGTCGTTAAGCGAATGCCATGCTCCCTAAGTGAACTCATTGTTCACTAGGGGGCATTTTTGCCAAAAAAATTGTAAATTGCCGGTCACATGACTGGAGGATGGTGCAAAGGCCCAGAAATCCAGGCCAGCTGCCCAGTGCCCAAAATGTGCTCATGTGACTGTGGGAAGCAGAATGACCTTTGGAACTTTGGGATACGGTCATAAATACCTTTGGGGGGATCCCCCATAACCCTGAATGGTCACTAAGCAACCTTCGTAAATCCACTTCCTGTATTTATTTAAAGATTTCTATGGGACACATCTTGCACCACATAACTCTGGGAACTTAACAACAGTGATGACAAAAAGAAAAACAACACAATAAGAAAATAAGAACCAGACCTCCCTCTCCCTCAACAACACTCACTCATCCATATGATCCCCTGGACAGCAGCCCTAAGACATCCTTAGGGAAGTGCAGATGACCTGACTCTCTGCCACGTGGGGCTTTAAGCATGATAGCAATAGCACTTAGATATATCTACCCCTTCACAGTGCTTTACAGCCCTCTCTAAGCAATTTACAACCTCTTGCCTCCAGCAATCTGGGTCCTCATTTTACCTACTTCGGAAGGATGGAAGGCTGAGTCAACCTTGAGTATGTGAGAATCCAACTGCCAAACTGTTGGCAGCCAGCAATCAGCAGAAGTAGCCTGCAGTACTGCATTCATAACCACTGCGCCAGCACGGCTCATGATAGATAGAAAGGGCACCTTCAGTTGCACCCAGGAGGAAACTGGGGGCCACCGTATTATATGGCCAAACTGGCGAGTGCCCAGTACCATATGAGCTGCCAAGTCCTGAACCAGTTGTAACTTCCAGGTGGTCTTCAAAGACAATCTCATGTCCAGCGTGTTGCAATAGTCCAACCAGGAGGTGACCAAGGGATGAGCAACCGTAAGCAATGGGCCCCAGTCCAGGAATGGGCACTACCTGTCTGTCAAAGGTCTCCCCAGTCATGTCTGTCACCTGTTCCTCCAGGAGGACCCCCACATGGTCTATCAGCTCTGTCTGGCCTGTTTGAGGTTTCTGGAACACACACCCGCTGTGGGCTTCCGCAAGGGATGAAGGCCAACCACGGACCAGCAGAGCCTATCCACTGCAGCCTCCGAGTGAGCTGCGGTGTGTGCGCCAGAAGCACCCCCGGAGAATGGCCAGCAATGTCTCACAAGAGCTGTGGGAGTGTGTAGCAGAAGACCTCCTGGAGAGCCAGTCTGTGGCCTTCAGCACATTCAGAGCTGCTGGCCCTTGGGGAGGCTTTGCAGGAGGAAGGCAGGCAGGGCTGAGAGCAAGCAGAGGGCCTGTGAGTAGACTCCACCAGCACTGGGCTTTCCTCCAACCCTCGCTTGAACGGTCTTCAGGCTCTGCGTCATAGCCACATGAGCCACCACAGCCCCTTGTCCCACTGCCCCCTCCCCAGCTGGGCCATGCAACCTCCGCCATCCTGTTGCGCTCACTGTGCGCATCTCAGAGTTGCACCCTCGCTCAGCGCCTGGATCCCAGGCCAGCAGCAGCAGGTGGAGGAAGACAGCTGGCTGCCAGCAGCGAAGAGACAAGGGTCAGCAGCAGAGTGTGGAATGGCCAAAAGAGCAGAGTTGGGGAAAGACGGGGTGGTCAAGCAGTGTATGGCAGAGCAGAACCGTGTAGTCCTGCCTTTACAACGGTGCTGTCTTGGCCTAATGACAACAATTCGGACTTCTGGAATTGCCATTGTTAAGCTGTATGGTCATAGTCGTTGTAAGTCAAGGACTACTTGTAGTGAGTCCATTTAATATGCTCTGTTAAGTGTGAAAGGACATTAAAATAGACAGCAAGAGCAAAAACGTGGGTTCTGCCGGAGGAAAGCCGTGTTCATCTATGGTGGCAAAAGAGCCAGAGGGTGAAACGTTGCTGCCAGATTCCGCCTGACTTTCTGCTTATTTGGTGGCTGAGGCTTCTTCTATGTCTGGGCTTCCCTGCCCTATCTGGGCATCCTGAAGTCAGCTGCCACCTTGTGCACCACTCTCAGCCAGGCCCTCTCCTGCCCATCTCCTGCTTTGATACTCACCCACGTACACCTGGTGCAGCTTCAGCAGGTGCCCACAGAAGCACTTGGACTCATCACCCACCCGGAAACAATCCCAAAGGTATTCAGGACAGCGCCAGCCGATGTAGAGACCTGCAGAGGAACAGAGGGGCCTGCTCAGTGGGTGGCCTTGCAGAAGGCTGGGAGGCTGTTTGGATGGCCATCAGGGGCCCAATCCCTGCCCCAGCTAGCTCAAATCCCACCCAGTAGCCTCAAAACTCATTTCTCTCTCTTGGAGGTGGGGAGAGGAGGGCATCCCAGATGCCAGACTGGGAAACAGCTTGGATTCTGCCCAGTGTTGTCGTCCTCCTCCTCATCATCACCAGAAGGAAGCCGAGCATGCAAGCTGCTTCTCAGAAAGCAGCCCTGGTTCCTGTGCCCACCTGCCCAGAATTCTGTGAAGAGGGTCTCTGCTGAGGCTCCTGGGGCCTCCCCTCCATGGGTCCCTGCAGGGAGGCTCCCACTCACCTGTCTGGATGGACTTGAGGGCCGCCTCCTTCTCCAGGTGGAAGAGCTCCTTGGTGTTTTTGGCGAATTTCTCTCGGTGCATGGCCTTGGCCACTGACACCAGCTCCTCCTTCTCGGCTGGCACGATGGTCCTCACCGTGTAGCCTGTGGGGAGAGCAGCCGGCCTCAGTCGCTCCCAGACTGGCTCCCAACCTTACTTTATGTTCGCTGCCTTCCATCTTGGGCTCCCGCTGCCTTTCCTCTGCTCCTTTCCCTGCCTGCCTGCTGCTTCTGGGGGGCTGTGGAAACTGCTACCCTTCTTCAGTCTCTCCCCCAGGGCAGCCCCTCCCCTCCCTGTCCCCAAAGCTTCCTGCCCGGGGTGGGGGGCGCCCTTTTCCTCTGCTGGGCTCCGGCCCTGGACAGAAACCACCTACTTTGCTGCTGGCCTCCCTGCTGTTCCGCGGCCAGAGCCCAGGCCAGCGGTCAAAGGGAAGCACAATCTGGGCAAAGCCTCGCGGCTCTGGTGTTCTGTCCTCTCCCTCCCCCCCGCCCACCAGCCCCGCCTGCCCTGGGCCCGGATGCACTTCTGGGGGGGGCCATTGCCCTGGATGAGTCCCACTGACTTGGCGTGGCCTTCTTGGCCGGCGGGCCCTTCTTCTTGGCTTTCGTCTGCTCGCCTGGGCCCAACCTGGCCAGGGCGCCGGTATGTTCCCCACGACCTTCTGTCTCTTCCAGTTGTGGTGGCAGCCCATTGGAGGGCTCCTTCCAGGACAGCGGCGACGGTGAGAGTGAAAACGAGGAGCACGTGAGAGGGGAACTCTCAAGCGGCATGGAGGATGGTTCACTGAGGCTCGTGTCCTGAGGCTCTGGCCACTCAGACGAGGAGGGTAGGGAAATGTCCGGGAGCTCATCCTCCCCTTCCAAGGAGGTCGAGTGCGGGAAGACTGTATCCTCGCTCTGCAGGGAGGTGGAAGCGGGCAAAATCAACTCTTCCTCCACCTCACGAGCCGTGGGTGACGTGCTGCTGGGGGGCGCCACCTCCTCCTCTGCCACTGCCCTTGCCTCCCAAGACTGAGATGTTGCCGCTGGAGGCAGTGAGGCTGATGCTTCCATGGGTTCCACTTCCATGCTGGCTCTGCTGGATACAAGCAGGAGAGGTGATCGGGTGGGCCGCGTGGCCCGGGCATGGGCGCAGGGAGAGTTCAGTGGAAGGGAGCTGGGCAGAGGCCAAGACGGTTCACACGTGCCTGGCCAAGGATCCCTGGGCAGCCGGGCTCTCCCACGGGGGAGTTGAGGGAACCATCTCCTTCTGGCTCTTCTATGTCCAGCAGATTGTGCAAAGCCCACTGGTAGATTTTCTGCTACTGGGTTGCGCCCCTTGCGGTGTGAACACCAGAGCTGCCTTGCCTGAGATGACCACTGGCCCATTGAGCCCCGAACCCCAGTCCGGCCTCGTGATCTGCCTCCTGGCGGGGCAATTGGGCACTTTCCAGGCACTCCGAGGTGCTTTTTCCTGCCAATGCGGTGAAGAGGACAGGTGAATTGGCAGGCCGGGAGGGGTGCAGGGGGGGGACTTGGGCAGCCAGGGGGGGTGGAGGTTGAACAGGAGTCTCATTCCCCCCCATAGCTCCTCTACCTTTGTGGGATTCCCCGTTGGGCAGAAGAGCAGCAGCGGCTTGGAGGCCTGGATTCTCTGGCGGGGGGAGGAAACGTTTCCAGGGCAACAGAAGCCTTGTTTTATTGGCATAGCAGCGGCCAGCTGGGTTCCAGCTGTTGAAAGAAAAACCTTCATCAGGGTCCAGTCCAAGCTGGGAATAAACAAAATGGAGACTGCTTTAGAAAGAAGGTTGTAGTTTATTGAAGAGGAGAGCCAGATAGAAAGATGGCTCTGGGAAAGCTGACCTGTAGTAGGGAGTGGTGGGTTTTTATACCTTCTTGAGCTTTTGTTTGGAGTTGTTCCTATGGCATGAACTTTGACCTGAGTCTGAGTGTGCCTTTCTGGCATTCTGATGGTGGTGGGTTAATCCTATTATGTCCCAAAGGTCATATCCTGCTTCCCTGGGACTGTGGCTGAAGACTATGTCCTGTATTGGATTTTTTGGTGTGAGGGATTGTCGATTCTAGGGATCTTTCTCTTTTGAATCCCATCTTCCTGGCTCCAATCTTTCTGACAAGATTATCACATCTGCATTTCTGCAGGCCTGGTTTCTGTTTGGAGCAGAGAGACTTGGGGGGTGGGGTTTCTGCCTTTAAGATCCTATTGCTAAGGAAGCTTTGGATACAAAGCTGGGTCTCCTCCCATGGAAAGGGAGTGGGCCTCCCTCTGACTTTGCCCTCGTACCCATCATGGGCAACCTGGGTAAGGAGAGCAAGCACAACAGCAGCAGCCTTGAGGAGGAGGTAAGTGCAGCTGGGTGCCCCCTTGGGGAAGTGGGGCTGGGCTTGGTACTGCGGGTGCTCGAGGGCCAGGCTGGGCATTTGACCTCTGCTGTCCAGGGCTCCCGGCAGCCCGCACCACCATCCAGCCCCCCCCACATGGCCTGAGAGGAACAGTGAGGCTCCTCCAGTGGACCAGGCCTTGGCACTTGCCCTGGTCCCACCCCCTGCCAGAGACCCTCAGATCTGTCTCACTCGTGCCCAGGCCCCCACAGGCACCCTTGACGCGAAGGATGTAGAGCTGGCCATGCCCACCCAGTAGGCCACACCCACTCCATCCACACCCACCCAGTAGGCCGCATCCATCCTGGCCACACCCGCCCCAGGGCAACCGCAATGCTGATGCGGCCCTCAATGAAATTGAGTTTGACACCCCTGCTGTAGTGGGTCCCAAAAGGGGGGCCTTTCAACCCATTAAGGTCTAAAACAAGGGCCAAAGTTCTGTTAGGTGGAAAAGAAATTTATAGTGTCCAATATTCTGTGCTGATTCTTTTGGATGTTTGATGTCACTTTGAGCTTCTAGTCAGGTTTTTGAAGCACATGCCTCCAAAATTCTTAGTCATGTTTTTCCTCAGTACATAACCATTGGCTGCCTATTTGCAAGGGTTGTGTCCTGCCCTAGCTCTTAGTTTAGTGCATCCAGGTTTGTAATGTCCAGTTCAGATTAGCCAGTGTGCAAGCCAGGCTATTAAATTGCACACAGTGAGCCCTAGGACTCCCACTTTGAGTCCACCATTGCAACATATTCAGGGCTTGGCTTTTGGAGATCTCTTTTCTGCTACTTCCTCAGTCAGAGCACATGAATTGCAAATTGCCGGAGGGGGCCTGGTTCCCTCCCCCTTGGAATTTGCAGGAAGGTGTAATTAATTAGTTATTAATTATAATTCATGAATTATAAATATGTCAAACAGCACAAGCCCTGCAATTCATCACTTCCTGTCAATCAGATCTGCATCCTTTAATAAGCCCTTGTTGGGTTTGATCTCTCCACAGGGTCTATCCATTTAATGGTAGTGTAGGACAGCCACAGGTAGCCTTCTTCTTCACCAGGATTTCATTGATATTTCCCGAGAAGTGCTCCCCCCCGCCCCTCTTGTTGCCCAAGTGCTGCTCAGCGCTAGCAGCAGGACCAGCGATTTCGCAGAAGCCTGTGGAGAGCTCAAACCCAACAAGGGCTTATTAAAGGCTCCAGATCTGATTTTAAAGGAAGTGAGGAATTGCAGGGCTCCATTTTAGGCCTTGTGCTGTTTGACATATTTATAATTAAGTTAGTTTAGGAGTTAGAAAACATTGTAATCAGTTTTGGAGTTGATACGAAATGGGGGGATATAAAATACTACAGAGGGCAGAATGAAGATCTTTAAAAGCTGGAATAATGGGCAAAAATCAGGATGATTAATTTCAACAGGGATAAATGCAAAGTCCAATGTATGTGTAGAAAGAAGAATCAAAGGCATGAATGCAGGGTGGCAGGTAGTATAGAAAACCCAATAAGGGATCCTGCCGAAGGAGGTTTACTATGGACCATCTGGGCAGGCAGAAGATACAGGCCAGGTCTTTCTGCATCAGATGAGCAGAGAGGTTATCAGAGAGGCCTACAAGAGTGATAAGGAAGGGGGCAATTATCCGGGCATCCTAGTCTTCCCTTGCTGACAACTTCATTTGGTGGAAGAAAGAGCAAGAGGAAATGCGATCCTGGAGCTAACCCAGAATCCCAGGCCGGGTTCAGCACTTCAGAGCTCCATCTGGACCTTCTCAGGGCGATCTCTGCTGCCCTCCCCAGGCTGCCCTCCTTTCCCCAAAGCTTCACAGAGCTGCTTTTTGGGGCGGGGCAGGGCTCGTCTCAAAGGGGCAGGGTGGGGCCCCGGGATCAGGCCCGGAAGAGAGGCAGGAGGAGCAGAGCAGCAACGCTGGAACCCAGCTGGCTGCTGCTATGCCAATAAAAAAAGGCTTCTGTGGCCCCAGAATCGTTTCCCCCCTTGTTTACTTGTTCCTGATGTGCTGAAGACACATGCAGCTGGGTAACATCCCATAATAAGCATTGGGGGTGCACTTAGTGAAGTTCTGGGGTATCTGAGGAACTGCCTCACCCCAATGGGACTAATTGGCCCCTCTCCTTCCAGTGGAAGCAGCCTAATTTGGACCTCATTGGCCAAAGAATTTCTGCTGCTGGGCTCCAGGAGAAGAGCCTTTTCTGCTGTGCCCCCCCCCCCAAGAATATTCTACCATCAGAGGTGAGATTCCACCCCTCCCCCCAAACACATACAAACACAATCCTGGCCTTCTGGAAGAGCCTGAAAACCTGGTTCAGCCGCTCAGCCTGAGGGGCTGACAGGGTAGGGTACCTTGAAAGTGTCTCATTGGGTAGAGAAAATCTTACCCCCAAGTTGTCCATCATCTTAACTTTTAATCTCTTTATTCTAGTTTCGATTCTTTTTAGCATTTTGACTTTCATTTCATTGTAAGTCATCCAGAGTTGCTGTATTAGTGAAATGGGTGACATAAAAAGTTATTAAAATTAAATGAGCTCTCAATCCAGGGGGTATTTTTTGACATGCTAAAGTGGAGCTTTTTGCCTCTGGGTCTTTAAGCAAAAATGCCACGTTACTTTTTCTTGTTCCTCTAATGGCCCCACTTGCAAAATTCTTGATTGCAAATCCAGTTATTATAACTGAACCGTTTGTGGCCAACCTCTTTGGCTTCTTCAGGTAAGTGTCGAAATAGGTTCTAGCTAACTGCTGGTTCTTAGGATGACTCTGTGAAGCAAAGCTTGGGCCAAGTGATTAGGATGGACGAGGTCTGGGTGAAGCTAATTCACGGCTCATTTGCAAAAACCCTTTCATAATTTCCTAATAAAATAATTGTTCAGATCCTCAGTGAATTAGCTGCAGGTTCCCAAAGTCTTCAAGGGCAAAGATTGAGTAAAGTGCCGAACAGTAGTAGAACAGTAGTAGAGACAAAGCTAACTCTTTACCCCAGAGCCCATACTCCAGATGGGGGTCCTACCCAGCCTCTCCTGGAAACCTGCAGACTGGCACCCAGGGAGCTTCTGAAAGACCAGGGAGGCCGAGGCTTCTCAGGCAAACATTTTATTGGAGAAGAGCATCTGATGGGAGAGGTTGGAAGGGTCACCCCCCCCAAGGCCCCCCAAGGCAGAAACGGGTAAGCCTTGCTCTCTTCACCCTCTCACTTGAGGCGCCAGAAGATGTTCGTGCCAACGCTACAAAAAAGGAGGGAGGGAAATTTCAAAATTCTTATTGGCATGATTGGTGTCCCCCCCCCCAGGCTGAGCATCCCACCCCCACCGCATTCCCTGCTTCCACCCACTCAAGTGATAAAAAAGGGGGGCAAAGGAAATGGATGCTGCAGGTTCTGGGGGATGGCGAGGGCCGGGTAGGTCCCCAGCCACGCATTGCTGGCCACGTGTGATGAGGGGAAGGACACTGACCCAAAGCAGGTTGGGCGAATTCTCCTGGGCCTTTGGGGTTCTCCCTTGAAGCAGCTCCGTCGAGGTGGCCAGAAAAGTGGCCTCTTTGGAGGGGAGCAGCAGAGCTGCAGGCCTTGTGCTCGGGGAAGGCACCCAGGTGGCCTCTTTGCCCCATACAAATATGGGGGCTGTGCTGGGCTACTGCTCTTTAATTTGAGTAGAGCAATAAAAGCCAACTCTCCAAGTGTTGCCAGCTGTGTGCAACCCAGACTGTGGTGCCACCCAAACCACACTTGTCAGTGAGAAGGACCTGGGGAAGCTCCTCCAAAGCTTTGCTGTGTTTCTTTGTGGGGGGAGTGGCAGAAAAGGAGTCTCCAGCCTCTCCCACAGGAGCTCCTCAGCCCTGGGTCCAGGAATATCCCCCAGAGAGGCAAACCCGTTTGGGGCGTCCTTTAAAGAGCCACTGGGGGGGGGGGAAGAGAGAGAAAAAGAAGAGGTGCCCAGGGCCCTTCCAGTTAGGGGGCACAGCAGTTCAGCCCCTGCGTTTCCTTACAGGGTCGCATTCCAATCGTCTGCTGCGGATGTAACGTTCACACGAAGCAGCCAGATTGTCTTCAGCTGCTCCTTTCCGTTCTCGTCCACCAGACACTGGCCCGCAAAGATGGAGGTGGTTCCTGTCAGATCAAA